GCTTCAGTCTATCCTTATATACAGATGTTTTTAATTGCTGATAAAAGTCTTTCAATTTACTGATAAAAGTATTTCAATGGATATTCCTTATAGTGATACAATTATTAAATGCATGAAAGGTACAGTTGTTGTAGATAATTTACTGCAAACCAATTAGTTTGAATGACTATCTGTTCCTGTCCAAATTAAAGATAATAAAGTTGCGTGCACGCAGAAGTAAATTCACACTGAGACACAAAGTTCAGGTTAATGAAAGAACTCCGGAGAAGTTTAATGGCTTCTGACAGAAAATGGGTGCGCAGACCCTTATAAAGGCATTATTACATCATTGAAGAAAATCAAGATATAGACAAATAGACATTGTTAATTGGCTTAGGTGCTAAGATGTTAGTAAAATGCCCTCCCCATTCTTAGGTCACTATCTACGTAATTTCTTAACTCCTACAGGTCTTAGCGCCATTTTGTTAAAATGAGGAGCTCACTCGACGGGAGGGGCCTTTTGGCAGCTATCCATTTGGAGCGTAGCTGGCACTTGTTAGTTTCTCAAGGTTAAGTTTCAAGGATTTTAGTAAATACACATTTTATCAAAGCTATTTCTTGCTGACATGCAAATTCTATGTTCTATAGACAAAGCTTCCTTGTAAAACTATGGGGGCCTCTTAGAGGTATAGCAAGAGGATTTAAAGGGGCCTTACAAATTTATAGAGGCCTAATAATTCTACAACAGTCCCCCCTAAAATGTTATTTGCTAAAAGACAAAACTTTATTTGTTAGTATCAGAAGAAGTATTAGCCCAAAGACACAGAAACCCCATGACCGCTGACTTAGTGTTAATGCAAAGTGCAAGTCTATCCCTCTCTTGACCCTAACAGGTTGCAGCACATCCGTCAGTACGGTTCAGGAACACTCTTCACTCCGCTGGTAACCCATAGTGGCTTATCCACTACTTCTCCGTACGGCAGTCTACCCATAAAGACGGATGCTGTCCCTGTACTGTCCCTTCCTAGACTTTCTGCACTTCATCAGTATAAGGGAGAGTTTGTAGCGGAATACAGGGTGAGATGAGGTCTTGATCATCGATTGTCAGATGAGTGAAGGTTGGTGTTGCTTGGTTTACAGTTTTCTGCAGGAATTTCCTTAGGCATGGGAGGACACAACAAATGAGAAGAGCGAGAATAAAAAGAAAAATTAGTAAGGCAATACCAATCTGGACTAAAGCTCTCTGCCAACCAGTCATCCAACCAAACCATTTTTCCCAGGGATCAGTAACTCCAGAGTTTCTCTTTAGCTCTTCTGAGAGTCTATTTAATTTAGCTATGGCCAGAGTGACTTTACCATTAGGACCTGTGTTTTCTGGAATGTAAGTGCAACAAGTCATAGTGTCGGGAAGTATTTTACAGACCCCCCTTTTTCGGCTAAGATCATGTCTAAGGCCAGTCTGTTCTGGAAGGTCATTTGGGATGTGGCCTGTAATTGCTCGGCCAAGCCCTGGAGGGCATCCCTGGTGTAGTTCACGAAGCGCTGTTGGTTGTAATAGATATAATTAATCCAATTAAGGTTTTTGTTGGCAGTGACTATGGTAAAAAGTGATTCAAAACCTGCAGCTACTTCATCTCTAGCTTTAAATTCATTAGGTACCCCCCTAGGCACCCCAATGGCATCTATGTAAATGTGGGGGACAAAACTGCCTTTTACTGGGGTTTCGCACCTTACTCTGGCTGGTGTATGTGGAGGGTCGTATGTGTCATGATGATTATCAGAAATAATATGAATGGGCATGATAACTTTGGCCAGGGTACACTCACCCTACCACTCAGTTTCCAGCCTAGATCTTAACTGTAGATCCCCACATAACCAGTAAATATCCCCCAATGACCTGGTATGGTGCTGCAACAGGCGTATAGGAACAGTTCTGTAAGTGGCGCAATAACCTTTAGAAAAATTACCCATGAATTTACCAATCCCGTCATACATGGCATAACAAGTGTAATTACCTCTATAGACTGTGATTCCATCTGGTGGCTTAACATTTTCAACTAAGAGAGGGTATTCTGCCGTCCATGCCATGCAGAGGGACCTATTAAAGTCATATTGGTAGGCAAAAAGGCTTAAGAAGCAATCTTCTATCTCTAAAGGGAGAGTTAGGGGGACGGTGCCAAGGTGGGGTCGGGCACCGCCACATACATAACATGCTGTTTTATTATGTTTGTTAGCATTATACCTCATCCATTCTAACCACAAATTAATGTCATTGAATCCAGTTTCAGCGGCCATGGTATCTTCAAAAGTGGGGTTAGCGATGGCCATCATATCTTTAAAGGACTGGATATGTGGTTTTAGCGGATTTGGGACCATATGATCAGCCCCTTGCCACTCTGGAGAGTGGGACATATCTCTGAGGTAGAAATGACCTAATTTGTTGTAGGAACCTTTCTTCCAATACATTCCCATTACATATCGGTCTGCATCCTCGGGGCCAGGATGTTCAATATTTAACATTAATTTCATAGGGGTACTTCCTCCAGGCTTTCTTAAAGTCATTCTTTGAAGGAGGGATCTACCCTGATTGTCTATCTTAGATAAAGCACTTTTGGGTTTATAACCCCAGGCAGGCCCAGTATTCCATCCCGCAGCCCCCCAGTAGTTACAGTCATAACCCCATTGTTCATCTACTACACAAACGTAAGGGTCTTTTGCTTGTGGTATATCTTTATAAATGGCTTGAATCTGTGACTTAGGGAATGGGCACTCTACAATATCACAGTAATCAAAAGTGAATGTAGCCACATGGGTACATGATGAATTATACCAGAAAGTGTACCCACTAGCATCTTTGGTGATGGCCACCTGCTGGGCTTTAAGGAGGCCAACTAAGGAGATAATGTACCAGAGGCACATGGTTGCATAGAGTTAGCTTCCTCTGGGGCAGGTGTCTTCTTGCAATGGGAAGCGTGGATCCAGTTAGGCCTTCCGGCCAATTTGACAGAGGTAGGGGAGATCAGGAGAACTTGGAACGGACATTTACTGTTTTCGCACAAATTTCTTGACCAGAACCCAGTCACCGGGGAGCAGACTGTGGTTGCCTGTGTCAGAATCAGGATCTGGAATTGAAGAGAAAACTTGGGCATGGATTTTGTTCAAAGCATTTGCGAGTTCAGTTACATAGTTTACTAAAACATCAGTATGAAGTTGTAATTGCTGGGGAAAATAGCAACCTAGCCTAGGTGCAGTCCCAAATAGAATCTCATATGGGGACAGTGAGGTAGTATTTTGTACAAGAGCATTCATTAGATCCTTTGATAAATGTGCAGGTCCGTGTGCCCATTGTACGACTGCTGGGTACAAATTCTTAGGGAGGCAGAAATTGAGGTTGTTGGAGTACACTCCATCCTTCAGAACTGCCCCTTTCTGTGTCCACTTCTGTATTTCTTCAGGGGCAACTGTAGCCTGTTGTTCCAGCAGGATTTTTAGGTCAGTTGGAAGAGTCTGCAGAGTAAATATGGGAGTTTCTTCATTTCCGGACACTCTTCTTTCCACTTCCTGTGGTTCTTTTGCAGCTTGTTTTGCAGCCTGATCAGCTAGATGGTTGCCCCTTGCTTCATCTGAGTCCAACTTCCCATGTGCTTTTATCTTCAAAATAGCCACTTCTTCTGGGAGTAGGAGGGCGTCCATCAGCTCCTTGATTGCGGAACCGTGCTTGATTGGTGTACCGGCGGTGGTAAGAAATCCTCTTGTTTTCCAAATTAATCCGAAGTCGTGAGCCACGCCCAGTGCATATCTTGAATCCGTGTAGATATTGGCGCGCTTTCCTTCAGAGATCTTGCATGCTGAAGTCAGGGCTTGCAATTCAGCTTCTTGTGCAGACATAGTTGATGGTAAAGATGATGATTTGACAATTTCATCTGTTGTGGTTACGGCATATCCTGTATGGTATCTTCCTTCTTCATCAGCATATCTTGAGCCGTCCACAAACAGGGTGAGATCGGGATCTACCAATGGGTCTTCATGCACAGTTGGTAGATGTGTTGTTTCCATTTTCATCTGTTCAAAACAGTCATGAGGTGTATCTGGGTCGTAGTCATTCACTATGGTTAAATCTTGGAACTCATTCTCCAGGAAATGACGTGGCCATCCTTTTAGGTGGTCAGTTGTTGGATATTTGACAACACCATTTTCCTGTAGCTGTGATTCGTCCATAGTGGCCCATGCTTTTGCCATAGGCCCAAGATCATTCCATGATATTGTTTTCAACTTGGTCACAGGGACATGTGGAATGGCAGTGTCCCAATGACGGTACAAATGCTTGAGTTCCGGAGGTAGATGAATCAAGACCATACTGTTGCCTTCAGAATCACAGTAGAAGTCTTGTGCAGTGAGTTTTACTTCGACCAGATTATAGAGTTCATCTTCATAGCAGGGTTCAGGAGTGATGTTTGGTTTGTACCACATGGTACAGAAGGCATGTCTTGCTCCGTCATGAAGGAGTGCTTGTCCATCATGAAAGGATAGGTTGGGATGCATTTCCTTCTTGATGGTGCCAGTGAGAAGAAAAACATAAGTTTCGTCCATGATGAATCCGTAGTATACACCGTCCATGAAATCCGTAGTATACACCCCCCTCAGGGAGTGGCAGAAGAGTGGACGGATTGAGAACTTGACATCTTTGAAGGGTAATGTTGTCAGGCAACAAAAGGTGACATTGAAGGCGAAGATGCCTAGCAGGAGTAACATGCTTAAGTTGGACCTGGTTGACTATGGCAGAAATATCATGAGGGGCCAAGACAACCAGGGGGTGGCCAAGGACAAGATCCCCAGTTCTTTCAATGAGCTCTCTGGCAGCAAAGACGGCCCGAAGGCAAGAGGGACGTCCTCTGGCCTCAATATCCAGTTGGCAGGAGAAAAATCCAATAGGCCTTTGGCGACCTCCAGGACCATGGGCCTGAGTGAGTACTCCTGTTGCATGGCCTTGTCTTTCGGAAACAAACAATTTGAAGGGTTTGGTATAGTCTGGTAGGCCAAGAGCAGGAGCAGAAGCAATAGCACGTTTGAGAGAACAGAAGTTGTCAAGGGCTTCTGTGGATAAGCAAAATGGGTCTGACTTGAGAGCATCATAAAGAGGTTGCATAAGGAGCGAGGCTTCAGGGATCCATGCTCGGCAATAGGAAATGAGGCCTAGGAAGGCGTGTAGTGACTTTGAGGTCCTTGGAGGTGGAATGTCCAGTACTGCTCTAACTCGGTCACGAGTGAGATGTCTGGTTCCCTGAGACAGACAATGGCCAAGGAAGATAACAGTAGGTTGGCAGAATTGCAGCTTGAGACGTGAAGCTTCACATCCTTGTTCTGCTACATAGTAAAGAAGATTAATTGAGCATTGTTCTGTTGTGGGTAGATCATCTCCACAGTAAAATGGGAAGGGAACAAAGAACTGTAGTGTCTTTTCGTGACAAAGGTGTATTCAATTGAACCTGGCCGTCTGCAGTGAGGGGAATGGATGCTTGGAGGCGGGATAGGACATCAGCACCAACACAAGAGACATCGGTGTCAGGCAGGAACGATGAGTCAGGCAGGTCTTGTTCTCTAGGAACACTGCGGGATGCACCTGTGTTAACCAGGAAACCAGGAAAGCAGTAGGGTGACCTTCAATAGGTAAAGTTACAGTGGCTAGTGGCCCCCCTTGTTCCCTGTAGACACTGCCATGGCAGGGGCATTAAGCATCAGCGGGTTTGCTCTCCTCTGTATGGGCTGTGTTACTGACTCAAACCCCTTTCTATGTCATTAGCCATAGCTTTTTGCAGTCTGAACATGTCTATCATTATAAATAATGGTTAATAGTAAGTTAAGTAAAGTTCCTAAATGTCTTTGGATAAAACATTAACTATTGCGGTACTATCATTTATATTAATTAGACTATAACAATTATACCACCCTGTAACTAAAATTAATAACCAGTAGTGGCTGGGTTAATAAAACATGTCACTAATCCTTCTAATGCTAAACCATCATTTAAAGTAAAGGATGTTACTGTAAACCTACGATCTGTAACTAGCAAGATTCGATTAAGTAAAGATACAATGTTTAAAATAACTTGCATTATTTGGCTATTTCCCTTGTTGCAAGATGAAGCTGGATAATCAGCTGTTATGCTCTTATATTCGTGTCCAACAGATTTCATATGTAGGTCACACCACATTTGCAAATTACATTTTAGCAACTTTCTTCTGTACTAGGCGCCATCTTTAGGGTGGTGGCTGACGCACTTTCAACAATACACTATATTATAACTATTAAAATAAGTCAGAGAAGCAACATTCTGTTCTGCAAAATGAAATACTAAACTATGAACAGACCTGGCAGGTTGAATAAGACAGTTGAGAACATTATGCATTTAACAGCCCATACAGCTGTTTCTAGAAACATGTACTTTAAAATAATAAAATGATGCAAAATAAACTCACGGAATTCAACCAATTTCCCTTATCATCCTCTAGCCATTAATCACTTTCCTCTTCACATACTAGCTTAACTCCGCATATTCCCTCTATCCACATTGCATAGTTCTGCAACAAATCACGCTTGCCTATACACTTAACACGTCCAAATATTCCACTATTCTTGTATCAGATGCACTTACCTCCGTAAATCAACACTGAGCTACATTCTTGTGTCTCCCCCACAATCCTCACCACTTTATCACAAAACTCAATCTATACATACACACACATATATATATATATATATATATATATATATATATATACATACATACATATATACATAGATATATACACATATATATACACACACACATACACATACATATACAAACGGCAAACGGCAACAATAATAATATTATTACACAACTATAACACCATAACCTCTGAATTAGAATATTTTCCAGCAAAAATCCCATTCCTAACTCTTATCAGTAGCTCCGAAACGCAGAAGGCATGTACCTCCCCCATTCGGAGGCAAGTGGGGAGGAAAGGGGGGGGGATGTGAGACAGTGCAAAAAAAAGGAGAGAAGCTGCAGGCATGAAGATTAACCATGTGAGTGCTGGAAAGTAACAAGACAGAAGGACAGAGACTTATACGTTTGGAAACCAGAAATCTTTGACGGGAGAAACGGACTGGAGGTGCAGGGAGCTGCAGAGAGAGGATGAGGGTGACGAGATCTGTAGGACTGATGGGGGGGGGAGAATAGGGATCCATCAGCATCCAGTAACACAATTATTATAATACACAAACAAACTTAAACCTTTGTGATCAATATCTTCCTCAACCTATCCCTTTTGCTGAATAGCTCTTGCTACTCGGTATCAGGCTTCTGCTGTACAAACCAAATCTTGGTCCGACAGCTTCTCTTTCTTCTCTGTCAGTAACTTACGCCAGCTCTCTGGCTACAATCTGCCGCACAGAGGTACGGTAATTCCACATACTTTAGCAATCTTCCTCACTTTCTTAACCATCTCTTCTCCTTCTCTGTCTTCCACTAGATCACATGCTAACCAACCCTTACTGGGTTTATCTAACTTCTGTCCCATCCTCCCTATACAAGGCGTCCCAGATATAGAGAGAGAAAGGAACAGAACGTCTACCGTGCTCGACTGCTACTTTAAGAGCAAACTCTTTAAGTACGTCTTCCCAAAACGTAGACTAGTCACTGATTCCGCCTACCCGTGGTAGCCGCGGATTGGAGCGTGGCGAGAAGTGTGTGACCAATCACTTCTCTCAACAGAGAAAGAGAACTAGGAGGGGAAAGTGTAAGTAGTACAGTGAGTAAGATAAAAGTAAACACAGGAATCTGTGTGACAGACAATTAAGACAATAACATTTCAGTGTAAATACAGTGCATGCATCACAGTTCAAATAAGTTCAACAGTTTTATCCCTTGCCTTTACTCGTGTGGCCAAAGCCACCTCCCTCAACCTCGTAGTGTCCCCACACGGAGAATGACTTCCACAAGTCTCACTACCAGCAGCCACAGGAAACAGCAACAGCTTCCAACCCGAATCCTGTATAGCCTAAAGAATTGGAATCTTACCTGCCTCAGCGCTCGAGGCTGGAATTTTACCAAGAAGCTAAGCGGTCAAAATGACACTCTGGGGAACCCCCAGGAAGCAATGAGTCTACATCATCCTCCACAGATTCCCCCTACTCTTTTTCCTTACAGCCACAGCCACGTGGCTCCTAAAAGAGTTAAACAGGCAATAGAGGACCCCCAGGAAAACTTCCACAGGTCCACCCCCCTTTTTCCTTACTACCACAGGCATGTGGTACCTAAAAGGAGTTAAACAGGCACTTACACTCCCCGGGTACTAAGTTAAACACATACCAATACAAACACACCCAGGCAACAGATAGTCAACATGCAGGTAAACTAGGTATCATTAACAATACAAAGACTCTGGGCAAGTTATTACCTGACTTTGATGTCCTCTCGGCAGCAGTCACAGACACTGGGGCAGGTCAATCACAGGGGCAGGAACATACCGGCTAGGTGCTGCAGCAATCTCTACCGTGTACTCAGAGGTGATCAGGCTCTTTTCCTTCCCCCAGGATTCAGCCCCCCCAGCGTCTTCTTGGACAGCTGCCCAGACTGGACATAGCCCAGAGCCCCACGTTGGGCGCCAATTTGTTGTAGATAATTTACTGCAAACCAATTAGTTTGAATGACTATCTGTTCCTGTCCAAATTAAAGATAATAAAGTTGCGTGCACGCAGAAGTAAATTCACACTGAGACACAAAGTTCAGGTTAATGAAAGAACTCCGGAGAAGTTTAATGGCTTCTGACAGTTAAATGGGTGCGCAGACCCTTATAAAGGCATTATTACATCATTGAAGAAAATCAAGATATAGACAAATAGACATTGTTAATTGGCTTAGGTGCTAAGATGTTAGTAAAATGCCCTCCCCATTCTTAGGTCACTATCTACGTAATTTCTTAACTCCTACAGGTCTTAGCGCCATTTTGTTAAAATGAGGAGCTCACTCGACGGGAGGGGCCTTTTGGCAGCTATCCATTTGGAGCGTAGCTGGCACTTGTTAGTTTCTCAAGGTTAAGTTTCAAGGATTTTAGTAAATACACATTTTATCAAAGCTATTTCTTGCTGACATGCAAATTCTATGTTCTATAGACAAAGCTTCCTTGTAAAACTATGGGGGCCTCTTAGAGGTATAGCAAGAGGATTTAAAGGGGCCTTACAAATTTATAGAGGCCTAATAATTCTACAACACAGTTATATTCAAAATATTGGATGATGGAACATACATATCGCTACATAAATTAATTGTATAATGTTCAACAGAAATACAAGTATAGAACCTAAAAGTGAAAAATATAAATTGGGCACAAATTGGTGAATTCTAATGAATTGTATATAGAAAATGAATTCTTAGATGTTGAATTGGTAAGTAAATGCATTTGATAAATCTTAATAGCTAAGCAATTAACAGTACATATATGTTTAGATATTCTTATAAAATGATAGTAAAAAAATGAATAGTTCTTAATTTAGATATATATTGTAGATATTGCTGAAATATACAAAAAGAAAAAGAAAAAAAGAAAAGAAAAAAGGAAAGAAAAAAAAAAACCTTTTAATATTGAATATGATACATTAGTATTCTGACCAAATGGGATAATATCAGGTAAAGTGTGTATCCATTGGTATTATTTACATTCTTAAAGTGATATACAGATAGACATACAGTGATATATACCTTGATAATTAGTAACAAAGCAAGTAGGAAGATCTTAAATGCTATTCATATTGGTTTGGTTGTCTTGTTAATAGTCCATTCTAAAAGAGAACACATGCATTATTATATACATCAGTCAATAGTCTTTAAAGATTATAATCTGAGGTGGTCTGTTATCAGACCTCAAAGTGTACATACATAAAAGAGAGAAATGTGAGTGTGTGAATAAAGATACATATAAAAGTATATATGTAAAGGAGAATATATATATATATATATATATATATATATATATATATATGTATTTGGACCCATTGAAATGTGGTAATAGAATAAACTAATAGTGCATAAATGGAAATATATACGTATAAAAATTATATCAGAAGATATAAGGAAGTATAATGAAAGAAATATAAGAAATACAGTGAGAAAAGGGCACAATAAAAATAGAATATAAAATACCCATATGGGTGCATATGTATATGAAAAAAAATGTATATATATATATATATATATATATATATATAAAATAAATAAATAAATAAAATTGGCCAAAGTAGTATAGTATCATGGGTATATTCATATATAAGAGAAGGTCTAATAGAGAAGAAGAATAAAATGGATTTAAAGGAATGCGTTGAGTTCAAAGTCTATATTTAATCCCTTAGGAACCAGAGTATCTAATTGGAAGATCCACTTGGCTTCTTTTTGGTCAAGGTTTCTTTCTATATTACCCCCTCGCCAATGTACATCCACTTTCTCTATGGGTAGAAACTTGAGTCCTGTGGGATCTCCACCATGGATCTCCTTAAAATGTTTCGAAAGATTATGTGTTGGAAGTCCTTTTTTAATATTCCTAATATGTTCTACAATACGTATCTTTAATGGTCTTTTCATACGTCTGACATATTGTTTTGG